ACATGTATGCTAGTTAGTTGCTTTTGCTTTCCTAGGACATCTATGTTAGTTAGTTGCTTCTACTTTCACTTAGGCTGTTAGCTGTGACATTGYTGTTTTGTGACATTTTATATCCTAGGTTGCATCGCATGGACTCAGCATGGAGCTTGCTCCGCATCCTAGACTACTCAGGTTTTCTTTTCTTTGGTAGAGTTCCGCTTCTTGGCGGAAGCATGTTTGTATATAGGCGATCCATCACAGGCCAAGGATCGTGTAGCGGACCTCGGGTTGGCCTGTGAGACCAGCCCCTTGGCCTGTTCTCATAGGCCTGTGTTGTATTCGGGGTAGGCCAGTCCAGGCCGGTACCTCTGTCGGTACCAGCCAGTCCAGTCCAGTCCCGTCAGTCCATTGGGGTATACCCCAACCATTGTCTGTTTTCAGTCTCATTCTTCACTTGCACATTTTGGAGTACGTGCGTTGGAGTCTTGCGTGGGGAGCTGCGTTGTGCCATCTCGCTCCCCCCCCCTTCTTCCTCTATATCCATCTCTGTGTCACTAGCGGAGCACCACACCTGGTGGGTCCGCTACACAACCTCCCGTACTTTGATGATCAAGATAATAACCCTGACACGTATTTCTCTCACAATGTTGTTGATGATGGCGATAACATTTGTGCTGCTAATGAAAAGCATGATGAGCCTATAATGATCCTCCCTGATTATGTTGCTGATGATGATGAAGATGACGCAGAACCTTTCTTCAAAAAACACACTGAACAACAATTTCGTCAAAATAGACATATTTTATTTTTTGAACGAAATTGAAACCTCATAAATTAGAGAGATTTAGGTGGAAATTTCAAGCTCTTGAGGGTCCGGCGTCTTACCCCTTGGATGTATCTAGACTTAGCTGGACTCCAAGGGCCTGGATGTATCTGGACTTAGTTTGCATCCATGGGGTAGGGCGTTTTCAGAACGTCGTACCCCCTGGAGCTGAAAATATCGACCTAAATCGGACCGATTTTTTAGTTTTCAATTTCGTTCAAAAAATAAAATATGTCCGTTTTGACGAAATTGCTATTACTGGATGTCTCCTGCCAATCCTCCTCCCACTCCTTCTGTTTTTCACTTGCCTCAGCCGACCTCCCTCCACCTAAGAAGATGAACGCAAGCTAAAGAGCATGAGTGACTCGTCATGAAACCTCACTTTCAATCGAAAGCAGGCCCCCCTCCATGTCGTATGCTAACCTGCAGCATCACTGGATGGAACACGAAGCAAGAAGATTGCAACAATGTGCGTTCAAGAGGCAGGGGAACACCAAGTGACTTCTTAGATATCGTCTGCCTTCTCACCCTCCGTTCTCATCAGCCCTTGTTCATAGCCGCCCGCCCAACAGTGCTCATGCCCACCCAACAGCGCTCCGAGTCGCATGGCAACGCATGTCCGCCCAGCAGCACGCGCATGGCAGCGCCCGCCCAGCAGCGCTCACATGGCAGCGCCCGCCCAGCAGCACTCGCATGGCAGCGCCCGCATGGCAGTGCTCACATGGCAGCGCCCGCCCGGCAGCGCTCGCATGGCAGCGCCCGCCCAGCAGCGCTCGCATGGCAGCCCCCGCCTGGCGGCGCCCGCATGGCAGCGCCCACCCGCCCAACAGTGCTCATGCCCACCCAACAGCGCTCGCATGGCAACGCATGTCCGCCCAGCAGCGCTTGCATGGCAGTGCCCGCCCAGCAGTTGTCGCATGGCAGTGCCTGCCCAGCAGCACTCGCATGGCAGCGCCCGCCTGTGACAGATCAGACCGGGCAGTGTTCCTGGTGGATGGCTCTGCGGGCTCCACAGAGATTCTGAACAGTTCCATCAGAAAGCAAAAAGAAACCAGCATATAATCTTATATTACTTTTGTAAACAAAAGTTCTTTATTAGGTTCCCGTGCCCAAGGCAATATACACAGGATGAAGAGAGTTTTAGATTCAGAGGCAGCAAGGCCTCCAATCCTTCTCTGTGAGGTGGAGCCCCTCCCCTGTAGCAAAAGGCATCCATATGCAGAAAAAAAGGAGCTGGCAACACTTGTCTAAAGTTTATAACTTTATACAAAATGCCAACTACAAGAAGAGAGTTTATATCTACCGCGTCGGAACAAAAAGAGGAAAGGGTCGTAGTAATAACAAAGTTAACAAACACAAAAGGACTAATCAATGGGACGACCCCCGGTTTGTCCTCCCAGTCAAGAGTTTGGATTGAGCATAGAAAGAGGACACAGTAATAAAATTGGAAGGACACACACATCCATTGACCCAAATGAGCCAAACTATGAGAGGACAGCAGCTAGTGGCTTCACAATCTGCCCAACCTCCTGACCCTCAAGTCTGGACCCCGCCCCAACCCCAAAGTCTCAGCCACCCCCCTTTGGGACCCAATTATGATGGTATCACAACCCCTACAGCCTCCGCAACTCCCCGACCCCTCCCAGCACCCCCCGCCCCCCCCCCGGTCAGGAGGCATCCCCAATGGGCAGTGAAGCTAGCCATGGCGGACATTGACATCTGCTCGCTGACTGTCAATTATGGATTAATCCAAGCAAAAGCAAAGAAAAAAACCGCCATATGGAGTATGTTAAAGAACCCGGTCAATGGGGGTTGGCCCGATGCAGTGTGTGTTCAAGAGACACACCTGCAGGACACCCCGGCACACACAGCACAAGCAAAGTTCATCTGGCCATATATGTAAGCTACGAGGCGCCCACAAAGGAGAGGGCATCAGCAGGTGTAGCAATCTGCCTCCCCCTCTCCTCCAAACTCAGAAGACCACAAACTGTGGACTATGACAGGCAGCAATGAAGGTGGGTTAGTCTTTTTTTTTTCTTTTGGGGGGGGGGGGGGGGGGGGGGGTTAGTCTTAAGGTAGCGTATGAAGAGGATGAATTTTACTTGGTCTGTGTATATGCACGGTAATGCACCCAACAAACCGATAGGTAAAATAAACCTACGACTCTCCCTTTTCCAGCAGCTGCAAGATGATGGCCCAGTCATAATGGCAGGCGGCTTCAACTTAATCTGCCAAATCCATTCTTCCGGGTCAAGAGGGAGGTTTGCAATTGGGGTCTTGGGGTGGTACACCCTCCATCCCTGAATTGACGAAATGTACACACGATCCTCTGGGGAGGGACCCGGGGAAAGGAGGTGGTCCCTATTTAGCATAAACAGGCTTACCAGGGCTCCATCCGAGAGCAAGTGAACAATCTGTCCTATCATAGACTGGTCATCGGGGGAGAAAACAACCATCCAATCCGCTTCCCGGAAAACAATTCCTTTCTTAGAAACCACCAGTACTTGGCCCTGCTATCCGCCGTGGAAAGAAATAAAGTAGAAACGCTTCTAGTCGGATGAATTTGGGCGCTCCTGTAGTGGCCCGTATGTTTCCTAAAATTGTGGCCTGTTGATGGGAACAACTTTAGGAAGTACTGGTGGTTTAAGATTTGTACCCACGCCAGAGAGATAACAAGGATTACTTGTTCTTGACAATCTGCATGTTGTTGGCAGTGGTGGGCATAATAAAGAGTCTTTCTCAATTGGTCAACTGTTTTACAGTCTTTCTTTGATGAATCCCACAAATCCTTAGTCCTCAACACCCCCCATTTGACCCCGCGTGACTATGGTATGGCTGAACTATTCAGTACACATCCATAGTTGTCCCTAATCCATCTATTACCAAAGAGTGGTGGAGGCGACACTCCACATACCTTGAGGGAAAAGGTTTATTGGGCAAGGGAAGTTGCCGCCAAGTTTTCAATAATGACACCCATATGTTATCAAAAAGCAGATCATTTCTAGCTGCCGCTCTGCTCCGTTCAACCTTGGACGGAGGCCACCCTCTAGGTGTACTCCAGTATTTGTCCTCAATCCATGAAAGAGGATGCGTGCCATCTGTAGACGGGAGGGCGGCGAGGGCCAGCTTCCTGAGTTGCTCCAAGGCCAGCCTTATCCAAGGTTTGTCTATGGAGAGGATCAGATTATTGACCCACAGTGACTGTAAAGAAAGTGCTTTACTTTGAAGGGTGAGGTATGAGATTCCTAACTTGAACCCCCCTCGTGCTTTGGGTTGGATGAGAGGGAGTTAGGCTACCCTTGGAATAACCTTCTCTTGTTCATGATTACCTCTCCATAAAAAGGTTGAAATTTGTCTTTGTAGAAGTTTGGTACGTGTTTTGCTAAATGACCATAGAACAAATTTGTACCAACTGGAGGTAAAACCCAATAAAAAGCGCCACAAAAGGCCAAGTCAACAGTTCTTGCAAGAAAGGTCAATCAGAGAGTCAAGAAGCTGAGAGGAACAAACGAGACAGAGCCCGAGTGGTCAGGCTTTAAGCGTAGAGTAAATGGATCTCTAGTCCAGCAGCGAAGGGTAGGAGAGAAATAGTACAGGCTAACTTAGGCAGGGGTAAGGAGCGGTACATCCTTCCGGTTGGAAGTGATTAATGTCGGCCTTGGGCCTCCACACCAGAAGAGAGAGGAGCGTGTGAGTGTGTTTTTAATGTAATACCATCTGACTTGCCGGTGGAATGGGAACCAGACTGACACTCCCCAGAATGGACAAGGAGTCAGGACCTTAACGACCTATTCAAAAAAAAAAAAAAAAAAAAAAAAGGAAAGAAAGAAAGACCTTGGGAAATCTATCCATTAACGATCGGATCTCCTCCATATTTGATACAAAGGTTTCCAACATTATAGTTATGTCATCTGCAAATATCGAACTAATGGGTATAGCTTCTTTTGGAATACCAGAGATTTGTAACTAGACCGAAGATTAGCCCTTCGTGCCTCCATAATGATTAGAATCAGAAAGGGGGTCAAAGGGTCTCCTTGTCTGACCGATCGTTGAAGATGGATCTTCAGAGATAAAAAACCATTCACTTATACTCTCGTTGTGACATTGAAGTGTAAGATATTTACCCAATGATGTATGTTAGGACCAAAATTCATTTTAGTGAGACAAGTGTCAAAAAAACGCCAATCCACATGATCGGAGGCTTAAACAGATGAAGTAGCGGGGGGAGGGGTGGGGGAAAGGAAGGGGTACAAAGAGGGTAAAGGAGGGGGATAATGGGAGAGAAGCGTGGGGTATAGGGGGGAAGAGAGAATAGGGATAAAAGGGGTGGGGGTAGGGAGGATTCCTCACATATTTCAATCCTTTGTAATCTAGTTATTTTCATCAAGTTTCTTTCTCAAGTAACTTGCTATCTACTCGGGATTTTCTTTCCTATCTACTTTTTAATTTGTCATAATACAATCACTCAATCGTAATTTTAAAAACCAATTCAGTTATCATCATAGTCATCATAATCACCATGTTTAATTAATATCTCAACTAACATCCGAATAATATCATATTTGATTAACATCTCAACTAACATCTGAGTATATTCTCGATCATGTCTATCTTTGAATCTTGGATTTCGCATTAAATTGACCTATATGATATTTCAAAAATTCATAATTAATTAGTCATTGATTGTTGTATCCTTTATTATTCCCTAGTTCTTTCAATCTGGTCACAGGCGTTTCATGTCTGATTTTCTTTTGGAATTTTCACTGCATTTTTCATAGTATTCAAGTATGACTTTAATTGTTATTATATGGATACCTAATTTATCTAGTAAATTTCTCCACTTTATAGTTCTTTCTATTATTAATCTGTTTCCTCC